TTCCAGCTAAACAGTCGAACTCTTTGCCTTAGGAGAAGAGAGGAACCCAGACGAGGCTCTACCGAAGGGCAGAGTCTCCTTTTGGGAGGTAGACTGATCCTGAACCCCTTTATGCGGGTTCAAAAAGGAAATATTTTTTGGCCGAGAGAACCCACGTTAAACCGGCCTTGTGCCACATGCAACCCTCGTGGGGGGTGGGGATAGCTAAATATAAGTAGCTGGGATCTGTTCCAGCTGTGCTGTCGAACTCGAGCTGTCGATTTGAGGAACCCGGACGAGGCTATGCCGAAGGGCAGATTCTCGTCCGGGGAGGTAGACAGACCCGAACCCGTTTATATGATTCCTACGGGGAATTTTCGGTCGAACCCACGGGCTCGGATAACCCACGTTAAACTCAGCCTTGTGCCAAATCTACACTGGTTTCTAGTAAATATTGACTAGCTGGGATCTGTTGGATACGACTCAGGCTTACGCGAGAACTACCAACCTTCCAATAGTAGTACTTGCAACGCCTTTGTGCATAACTGTTACCTTTATTCTTATTGTACTGGTTTTATACAATAAACCCTTACTTATTTTATTCACCTTGGTTTTCGAGTATATGCTCTTAGTAGCACGGAATATAACATTAATAATTTTACGGATACAAATCTTACTAATTAACCCTTAACTGATGGGAAAGAAGAGTTTGAGTCATACCATTCCTAAGAAAATGCATATAATGAACCCAACCGGAATTAAAACTCGGCTCTCAATTAATAATTCCGAGCCATTATCCATTACATTAACCGTTCATTCAAGCTTACAGCACCTGGTTGTTGTGGTAGGATCCACCTAATTTGCATAGTGGAGTACCGACCATATAAATATTGTTGGTACCGGGAAGAGAGTGAAGAATCAAGAGATTCAACCAGAGACTCTGCCCGACTGCAACTCAATCAACACATTCTCCAGGAACGGTCTTACCAGGAATATACAAAAGACTATATGTAAATATTGTGTACACTTTCTTGTTTCAATACATTTTGTTCTAAGTACATTTTGTGTTGCATTATTATTCCATGCATTAGTCAAGTTTCAACACTGGTGTTGCCAAACGGTCATTCATCTAGGTACTGACTAGTTTCGACGTTGCTTAAATTCGCCGATCATCCGAGAGCTGCTACTTCAACGTGGTGTGGATGTAAGCCTTTCATTAACAAATTTGATTTTTTATTGTAGAAACTGTTACACTTTAATCTCTCTTTGGAATTATATTGGTAAACTCCCTTCTGTCACGAAACCCGCGTAGAGCCGAAGCCATGTGATCTTACGTCGGAACGGATATTGTTTTTCTTTGTACATGTGAAACTGTAATTTCATTTTCTGTTCTATACTATTTTATCTGGATATTTATTTGACTGTGAGCTTATGAAGGTGATGTCATCCGAATGCAGACGTTGTTATTCAACGACTTATGAAAATTTGAGCTTATCGATTTTTCGCCTTGGTAAAAAGATTTGGATTTGCATGTCGTCATTTTACGCTATATTCAATTGCATTTTCGCCAGTAAGTGTCAGTGTGTGTAAAATCACCGTTACCGAGGAAGCGTAAAAGAAAATAAATAGAAGAAAATTATCTCTTTATCCTACCCAATTCTATTTCGTTCTTTCTGGGTATTGGATATTTCACGGGAAGTTCGGTGTAAGAATTACAACGTTTGAAGGTGTGGCATCCATTTCAGTATTCCAGATATACCTGTAATTTGAGTGTATTATTATAACGCTTGTGAGTTTTTACTCAAAATAAATTCTCTTCCTCAGGAAGCTTTTAAGTTTTTTTTCTCCAATTAAAGTTAAGCGTCTATTTTTTTTTTATTATTTCAGTAAACATTTGACTGGGAGGTCTGTAGAATTAATACAAAAGTACAAATCTCTCTCACATATATATATATATATATATATATATATATATATATAGCTGCGTGAATACACAAAAATAATTGCATTAACAGAAGCGTGTGTATGTCTATATACAGTGAAGAGAATGAAATATTCGTACACAATATTTTTTTATTTAACATAGATACATTTTATAAAAGAATTTTATAATCCATACAATATTTGTATACTATGTGTAGAAGTCAATTGACTTAACTGCTAACATGCAAAATTCTTAATGCTGCAATATGCAAAAGAATTTTGAAACATTTGTTAAATTAATGAAATCATATGAAATTAAAACATTTAGAGGTGAAAAGGTATTCGTACAAAATTATAATACCGATTTAATACTTTGTAGCTTATCACTTACTCAATTCAACAGCAATCTGTCCCTTGCTGTAGCTTTTAATCAATTATTTGCAAGTTCCAGTTGGCATTTTACTCCATTCTTCTTTGCATATTCTCTTTAGGTACAGTACGTTTTTCCGAGCTCTTTTATTAATTTGAATTTAATAAACGCCACAAATTCTCTATTGGGTTCATGTCGGGAGACTGTGGTAGCCATTTGAGTGTAATGACATTGTTTTCAATAAGCTCGTTTTTCGTAGATTTAACTGTATATTTAGGGTCATTATCTTGCTGCAAAACCCATTCATTTGCGAGTCCAAACTTTACTACTGACCCAAACAAATTAGAGTTCCAAATATCTTGCTATGTTTTTGAATTCATTCCACTATATATTAACTCTAAGTTACCCGTATCATTACCAGAAAAACATCCCCAAACCATGTTATTGCTACCAACAAATTTCACCAACAAGTCTGTGCCGTCTTTTTTCCAATTCATTCAATATTTTTTTTCCTTAATCTGCCCATAAAACACTTTCCCAAGATGATGCAGGTTTATTCTTATGCTCATGAATAAATTTTAACCTCTGTTTCTTCAAAAGTAATGGAGTTATTCTTGGAGAACACAATTTTAGTTGACTTCCATGAAGTTTGTTGATTTTGTTCGCTTCTTAAAAATAATAAAAGATGCTTTTAATTCTTTCTATAATTCTCTCATTGGATTTTCTTGAATTTCTATATTATTTTCGAATTTGAAAGTTCTCTTTCCCTATGATGATGATGATGATAATTATTGTTTGATTTTTCTTGAATTTTTGCCAATGTTTGCAAAAATAAATTAAATTTTTTCTTTTTATATGGTGAATATGAATATTTATTTTATTTTAACAAAAGTTTTCCATTGATTTTTTATATATATGGTGAAATAATATTGTGTAGTTTTCATAAGCGCGTGTTTGTGTGTGTGTTTCATTAAAGGCGACAGACGAGCAACAGAGACTAAGCTTTTTATTTTCTCTGTCTTGTGTTCGAACAAGTGTTTTCTTATCTGGGCACAGTCTGTGTAGAAACTGCCCAACTTTTCTGTAATCCCGAGCGATTTCGGCTATACTTTTAGCCATTTTCAAGGATAATTTTATTTTCACTTTTTATTGGATGTATGGTTTGTGTGTATGTTTCTAAAGTTATAGGGATGTTTTATTTTCCGAACACAGTCAGCACATTGAGTCTGTGTTCGTAGTTCATATTAGAATCGTAGAATACAGTAACAGATACAAAATAGCAGTGATGAAAAAAACTTCCTAAAGAGAGCACATGAGAACGCATCTTCTCGTCTACTTTTCCTTAAAGAATTCAACAATGCAAAACAGACACTAGTTAACAATGGTTTACCTAACCACCTCATCGACCATCAAATTAGACTATTTCTTTTCAAAGTAAATAGTAACGATAAGGAACACACCGACAAAAATAAACAATTTTCTGCAAAAGACAAATGCATGTCAACTACAAACAAGATTAATCTTCGTCTTGAATTATTATAAAGAAATACAAAAAAATTCAATTATCTACAACAAAATATTTAAAATAGCTATTTTTTTTTTCAAAAATAACAAGACACACAAGTCAAAACTACAAAACGAATATTATTTACGTGTTGAAATGTCCTTTAAGTAACTGTGTTCCTGATCAAAACGAACTTATAAATAATTACATTGGCCACACTACTACATGCCTATCCAGATTCCTTACGTTACACCTACCCGACCACAGCTCCATCGGAACCTATTTAAACACACACACGAACTTCCCACACCTATCTGAAACATACTAGTAGAAAATACAAGCATAATAAACTCATCCACATGAAGAAAAGATTAAAAATAATAAAAGCCTTATAATAAAAAAGAACAGGCCAACACTCAATAATATTAATTACGAACAACGCCACAGTGCGTTTACTGTGTTCTGAAATTTAAAAAAAAAACCTATAACTCTAGACACATACGCACAACTCATGCATTCAGTTAAAAAGCAAAAGTAAAATCATCCTTGAAAATGGCTAAAAGTATAGCGGAAAGCGCTCGGAATTATAAAACATTTGGGTAGTTTCTACATATACTATATCCAAAAAAGAAAACACTTGTTCGAACACAAGGAAAATTACATAAAAAATTTATCACTTTAGCTTTTCTGTAATTTACATTCTGTAATGTTACATGTATAAATGAAGTACTTTTACCTGAATACGCTCTCTCTCTCTCTCTCACTCTCTCTCTCTCTATATATATATATATATATATATATATTGAACGGGTGTTTATATACATACGGGGTCTTATATACATATTGTATCTGTGTCCATGTTTATTTGTATCAGTGTGTCCATGTTTATTTATATATATATATATATTATATATATATATATATATATATATATATATATATATATATATATATAATACACACATATCACACACACACACATGAGGAGCGATAAAAATGCCTTGTGCCTACCACTGAAATAAAGTGAATGTTGGTTTGGAATTTTCCTTGAATAATGTTCGATTAGAAATTAATACACAGGTGTCGAGTGTAGAAAAATAAATACTTTGAATCTAAAATAAACGTTCATTTTTATCGTCAAGCTACGGACTTATCGATGCACTTACATATATGCGGCATACATCCACACATGTATAGATAATATTACTGCCTTCACATAATCAAATGTATTATTCGCTTTCAGACAGACGTCCGCATGCAATATTTATTTTCACTTATTACGAACTCGTATCTCGACGATTCGTGGATATGCGTGGGTAAGTCAGTTCGTGAATGTTTCGGATAATACTATACATAAATGAATGCATAAAGTTCCAGGTGTCTGTGTAAACTGTTAACCCGAGTAGAAATGTGGAAGTATAAAAGCGTTTTTTTTTGTTTTTTTTTTTAAGAAATTATATTCAGATCTTTACAAAAATTTCCAACTTAGGTTATTTTCAGTATAATGTTATCTTTTAAGTTACGAACATTTATATATGCATTCATATGTATTTCCTCCGCATAATAATATATTTGCTCACATGTAAACGCTGTTAGCTTATTTCTTTTTTGTATATGTATTTATTTGCTTTACTTTTCTTTTTGTCGATGCATTTATAATTTCTCGGGCAATTTAAGGTAATCATCTCTAACTTTGCAACCAACTCTAAGCCTCAAGTCAAGAAGCAAGAATGTATAAAACTATAAAATATTAATATTTATTTTGCCTAGATAAATGCATAAGGTATAAGCAAATGCAGATGATATAAAATATAATAGGATGACGATGCATACAAAGTTATTTCGCTGGTAGAGAAGAGATGAATTTGAAACCTCTTGAGGCGAGACTACATATGTGTGTGTATGTGGCCGAGTGGTTAGGCCATGAGACCCGGGTTCGAATCTCGCCATGGTGCTATTGTCTTTTAGAGCGACCTCAACCTGCGGTACATTTGGAAAGTGCCTGAAATCCATACCACGAGTTGACCTAAGCTTAGTTGACTATTTGATGAAACTATTTGAGATTCGTCGATGGTTGAGTTAGCACGAAATCGCTAGTCATCGTGAGCGAGGGTTTGAGCGTACTAGCCTTGATCAGACTATCGATCACGCCAGATAATTCTCTCTCTTCCAGAAACTGCATAGTTGTAGTATAAACCAGAGGTGGTCTCTGTGAGTGTTGAACAAACACAAATGTGACTGGGCAGGCATCTGTAATAGGGATTGGTTAGCCGCCTTAGCAGGCAGGTATACTCGAATACTACCGGCCAGCTATTATTCTCTCTCTCTTATATATATATATATATATATATATATGTGCGTGTGTCCGTCTGTGTGTGTGAGAGAGAGACAGAGAGAGAATCCTGATTGTGTAGGTAATATGGTCAGAATGTCGGGAGACTTCACAGACAGGCTCTCCTCTCGGCCCTATCCTCTTTCTGCTTTATAATAACAATGTGTCTAAGAATATTTTCAGATCATTAATATATATATATATATATATATATATATATATATGCAGACGATACCACGGTTTATGGGCAACGCCAAAACTCTAGCAAACCAGAGCCTGACTGTTGATTTTTTCCCCCTCTGCGTTAGCACAATGGGGAAAAAAGTGACTTGAAATATTCAATAGTTCCAAAATCAAGCTAGTACTGAATAGACACATAACTGAGACATGACGAACTTCTATCCAATCCTCAAATGCAATTCGTAAACGAGATCTATCGCTAAAGATTCTGAAAGAACAGTCGGTTACTTGTGCCACTCCATAAAATACCTGAATCCCTGCCATTCTCTATCTTTGCAAGTGTTTGATCAGAGTTAAAATGGAATATTGTTGCTATATCTGGCCGCAAGCTGCCCAATACATCACTTTTCAGCCTTGAGAAATGTCAAAAGCGTTTTCGCGGGCGATGAATTATATTCCACTTTACATAAACATAAGAAATGTTGCTATCCTATCGCTATTTTCACGGCGGATATTCAGAGAAGCGCTATTCTTTACTTTCACTAGACCAGGCCTTCACAGCAAAGAACAGCCCATTTTCAAATGCATTTCTTTTAACGGTTGACTAAAAGTTTGCTGTTGGATTAATATCCGAAGAGGCGAGGGAACAATACATTAATTTGGTGACTTTATAACTTTTATGGCAAGGTCATTTACGTGCCGTGTTCCTTCAGGACGTGTGCGATAATAGCTGTCCACAACTTTTTATTTTTTTTTTAACCCTTAGTAAATTTGTATTTTTGCTATCTCTTCTGACCGCTGTTCTGCCAACCATTTACACAAGTTCGTTAGGTACGTGATGTGCTCTTTTCCTCTGTCATTCTTGCATTATGTCCAGTGTGCATCAAATTTTCCAAGCCCTTTGTCCTCAATATGTGCCTTAGAATTATCAACTGTTTCATTCTGATGGTACGTATCCGTATCCTTTTTGTTTCCAGGTTCTCTAAACTTTCGTTGCTCACGTGTTTAATCCATGTTACTCTCAGCATCCTTCTGTAGAACCACATATCTGCTCCCTGAAGTCCCTTTTCCATCTCTGATGAGATGATCTTGCATTCACTTTCATCTAGGACCACAGATATTATGTAACACTTCAGTATTTTTTTCTCTTTGTTCCTAATTAATTTTTCCAGTTGCTTAATATTTTGCGTACTTTCGGAAGGCAACTTTCGATATTGCAATGCGGCTTCTGTGTCGCATCTTCCTCCCTCTTTTAAAACACATCCTAGATATTTTAACTTTTGTACTTTTATAATTATGGTTTCTGATAAATCTTTTTTCCGAACGTCTTCCTCCGATTGTAAAATGTTATGATATCCTAAGGTTTGTCTTACTTCGAAACTCTTGTAAACCAAACGTATAGCCGACAAATATTTTTCTTGTGAATTCGTTTCGGCGTCGCTGAAATTTGGTGTTTTTATATGTGAATTCGATTCAACAATCCTCGTCGCCACTGTTATATTCCGTGCTAATAGGAATATATACTTGAAAAACAAGGTAGATAAAATAAGTAAAGGTTTATTGTAATAACCAGTACAATAAGAATAAAAGTAACAGGGTCGTCGCACGTCAATCCAGTAATGAGTGCTACTACTGGAAGGTCGGGAGTTCTCGCGTAAGTCCGATTCGTACTCAACAGATCCCAGCTAGAAATATTTACCAGCCTCCCCACGAGGTAGGGTGTGACACAAGGACGAATTTAATGTGGGGCAATCAAAGCCCGTAGGCTTGGCCAAAAATTCCCCGTAGAAACCGCATAAACGGGTTCGGGTCTGTCTACCTCCCCGAACGAGACTCTGCCGAAGGCAGAGAGTTCGACAACAGCTAAGAGCTGAGTAACAGATCCCAGCTAGACTCTGTGGTCCTTTGACTTACAGATAGCTGCTACCTATAGTGTTGTCGCTCATGGGGGTGACAGGTTATTCCATTACATCAGTATCTCAGATTTGTAATTAAGCATATTGTGCTGCTTCTTTCGCTGACTAAAAAAAATGTCATCTTACAATTTATGCTTAGTATATCTCGCCTTATTTTTACTTTCGTTTGTAAGAATTTCTGTAGTTTCTTTTTTTGTTTCTGCTGTTAACACTATCATCTGCATATGTAACGCAGAGATTGTTTCTGTCAATAATATAACTTGGTAGGGTTACATGGTAGTAAATGACCATTCCTCGCAGATGAAGAAGAGTCTGGAAGCAACAGAGATGTGGTTCTACAGAAATATTCTGAGAATACCATCGCCGAAATTCTAGCGACTTATACTTAATTCCAGGAAGAGACAGTTGACATTTCAGGCACACATAACGAGAAAGGAGGGCTTAGAAAATTTGATACTCAAAGGACAGGTTAAAGGTAAGAGAGACAGGAAAGCAAGGAGTGAATGGATAGAGGGGAAGGGTATGAGAGAGATGGTAAAAGGACAAATGTTAAGAACTACAAGGGGCAGGAAATTTTGAAAAACTATGATCGCCAACGTCGTAAAGGGACACAGTACACAGAAGAAGGTGGGACTTTTAAATTTTTTGTCAGGGTTGCTTCACTGTAAAGGTTGAATAAGTTCGATGAGAAAACACACCCTTGACTTATGCCCCTTTCTAGTTATGTATTTACTGAAATCGTTTTCTCTACTCTTGCAATTGGTAATACGGTTAGTAAATCCAGAAATGCGGTTAGTAGCAATAATGATATATTTATAGTCTTCTTCTGAGTCTACATGCTCGCAACTGTGACTCCTACAAAGCGGTTACCTCACTCTCTCACTCTATCACTTCCGACTTCCGGGTATTCACCGGCAGCAGTACAAGTACACACTGGGCGAGTCCACTTGTATGGAAAAGGGGTGGGCCCCTTTAACAGTTGTAATATTCTTCTCAAATAAATGAAGCTTCCCTAGCTGTCCTGATAGTTCCTTTGTACGTATCTTGCCAAAAGCCATTGCCCTAAATGTATATATTCTTTAGATTAAAGTTTCTTGTTTTTAGACCTGTATTATTCAAGTACTATTTTCCAAGAACTTTGAATAATTCATAAAATTTATCTAGATATCATCAACTCTGAAGGCCCCTATTATCATACAACCTACAATACTAGATCCTAATCTTTACTCTATGTATATCCGTTGTCTTCTAAGTCGTTTTGATTGAATAATTCTATGAAAGATCTAATTTCGAGCCAGTTCATACTTTGTACCTTCATATTCAGCGCTAACCATTACGAATCAGTTTTCGTATATTGCATCACACATCATGCACATTTGACTTTAGGATGTTTACTTAAAGGTGCTAATTTGGTTGTTTTCTTTTGTTTTAACCATCGTTCTTAATAATCTAATTATATTCTCTCTCTTTACACTTACAACTCAGGCGCCATATTTACTTGCTAGTCAAATCACTCAACTTTTAACTTGTCTCAGCTCTTTTTATGATATTCTTAGAACCAGATTGTTTTTTTTTTCTTTCTTATTTTGCCAATGTTTTCAAATTCCCCTTTAGTTTCCTATGATGTCTGTTCAATTTTATTCGCAGTTTCCATCACTCAATAAGGTTACAATAATTTGATTTTCTTGGGAAGTTATATCATTTTTGCAAACCATAACAATATTTGTATTCCTGAAATGAAATATTAGTAAATACTTCAGAAACATATACAGAAGTTAATAAAGGAAAGCTAGAATAAAGGACTAAGCAACAATTGTAAGAAGACAGAATGTATGGCTGCCAGCAAAAAACAAAAAAAAAACAGAAAAAACCCACATGCGAATTACAA